GTGACTGATTATTGATTGTTCAAAAATTTTTCCACTAAAAAAAAACTTTTTTTTTTTTTTATAAAACTAATAGGTTCATCATTTTGCTTCAGCAATTTTTTCCAAAACTATCTTCACTATTCCAAGATTATAATTATTTATCCTTTTATTTTTTCCAACTTCTACTATTTATGATTATCATACTAGTTCATAGAGAAACTTTGCTTTTCCACTGGATCACTTGGAGCAGTTATTTCAATAATTTGACTCCTTGGGTGTCCAGGTTAAAGCAAGAAAGAATCATAGCTCAATATTTAGTATTGTACAGCTAGCCCTTTCTACTTTTTGTACGCGCTTCCCTCTTTTGTTTTCTCTATTATAAAATAATATTTATAAAATTTTTGTCGCTATTTTGTATTTAACCAAAATATTAACAAAATTTTTATCTATATGCATATATTTTAGCTAAAGAAATGTTCCTTAAAAAGTATGGCTTTAATATTATTCAAACCTCTGACTCCTCTTCCTCGATTTCTACCAACATTGCGATTACTTGTCAAGATTTGCTCACACACATCGGTTCCTTTTAAAATACTGTAGCTGCAATTAGAAGTTCGTTGAATCATTTGGAGAAAAAAACTAAAGAATATTTCAGTGGTTCAAGTTGTAAAGAGTGTGTACTTCTTCGTATCAAGTTAAACGATATATATACAGAACTCAAGAAAAGGAAATCACAAAAAGAGATGCTGCAAAAAATTAAAGACCTTGAAAAGCATATGATGGATTTAGAGAAGAAAAATCTCTACCTCTGATTTTTGAATACAACTAATCAAACTAAAGAGAAAGGCAAAGAAAAAGGAAAAGAAAAAGGAAAAGAAAAAGAAAAAAATAATGATAATGATAATAATAATGATAATGATAATATTGTTCAATAATAAGTAATTGATTTAATAATCAATATATAAATATATATATATATATATTTTTTATTTTTTTTTTTGTTATTATAAATAAAGTTTTTGTTAAATAAAATAAATAAAGTAACATCAATAAAATAAAAGTTATTTTGTTAAATAATAATAATAATAAGAAAAAAAAGTGAAACAAAATATTATTTTAGCTAATAATTATAGTAGGTTTCTATAAAGGTCAGTCAAAGTATAATTTTAAACGATTAGCATTAATTATTCCTTTTAAAATTTTATCATCTATAAAATGAAGTTTATAAGCTCCTGGTGCAACTATATTATGGATATAATAAGGTTCTTTCCATTTTTCCCTGAATTTATCACCATGATCTTAGCTTGTACTGATCGATATAATAGTACTTTATCCCTAATATGAAATGGAACTTCCTTAAGATGCTCATCATATTTTTTTTTTTGTTTTTGTTGAGCAGATTCAATATTTTGTTGGGCTTTTAACTAAACTTGATGTAGTTTATTTGTAATAAGGTCAATATGATCTTGAAGCTGTTATTCATATAGAGGTTTCTCAGCATTATTAGTAGAATTTAATGCTAAATCAAGAGATGTAACAGCTTTTTAACTATAGAGTAGTTCGAATGGTTCATATTTGGTAGTAGATTGAGGAACCATTTGGTAGACAAATAGAGTAGCAGGAATAAAAGTATTCCAAGAATCCTTATAGTCACTAACATACTTTGCTAAAATATATGCATATAGATAAAAATTTTGTTAATATTTTGGTTAAATACAAAATAGCGACAAAAATTTTATAAA